GATTTGCTGCCTCTGATGGTTTTTATCGCATTAAAGAGTGTATTTTCAAAAAGTTATAGCACGTCAAAGGAGAACTCGCAAAACGCGCATTATTTTTGCACCAGCCTAAAAATCGTGAAAAGGAGTACATGTTAGCAAAATGTGCTAGCAGCTACGAGCGGCATTGTGTCAGCTTTAGCTAATCATTATTGGATGGGATTGAACCGAAAGATCTGCAAAATAAACTGTGCGGGTTACGGCGGAACTTGTTGGCTCCTGCTGGGCCGATCTCCCTTATCTTGGTTATTTGATACATCGTGTTTACATCAATGAGAATTCTGTTAATTACTCAGTTACACTTAGTTTTGCTACCCTTTCACCATGCATAGTGTGGAACTTCGATTGCACACACTAATAAAGCGTAAGACATCCTCTTGCTAATATTCAGATATCCGCAATGAAACCATCTGATCCAACTCTACTCGCGATGATTGAGAGACTTGCAGTGTTAGCGGATGCAGCCGTTCCTCCATCCGTGCATGGCCTTCCTCTGCGTCTGATCTCGAATAAGCGAAATTCTCTTGTCAGAACTTTAGGTAGGTTATTATGAAAGAAGTGAAACATTTCGTCTTTATTTGTGATTTTAATTTTAGAGAGCGCATCAAAGGTGGATTACTCCTCGCGGGTGTTAGCTCAGATGCCTGTCCCAACGCATATCGTCAATAATGTTAGGTCAGCTTAGTTTACATCAGAGCTCATCATTCTTCAGTTATTATCTGGAAAATGGCTCAAACGGATTTATTTAGATTGGTGACTTGTCGAGAGTTTGGCACCCGAGTGGGTAGAACTCGCCTTCCGGGTGTTGGATCCATAGATCAGATGGAACGCCATTACCGTGTACTGGGACATTTGTCGATGGTTTATTGTGTTACTTTCGATCGAACAGGGAACTACGTTTTGACGGTCAGTGGCATCTCTGTAGGCTGTTTGGTCACCGCATCCAAGCTTTCTACTCCTCTTTTATCTTTAATCATACTTTGCTGCTTTCCTTTCAGTGAGGCGATATCAAACAGGATTTAGTAAAATCTCCAACCACATCATATAGATATGTAAAGTTTGATTGAAATGGGGTGCTAAGGAGGCCAAGTCGGCAATGGCGGTTTTTTTTTGTTGCAAGAAATGTGGAAGAAGTTGAAAGGAAACTGAGTGTTACTTTAGATGTATACATAAAATCAGGGAAATTCGCGTGTGAGTTCATTCCAGTCATACGCTACATTTCCACTGAAAGAACAAGATTTTCTGTCTCATATCCTTTCCCACGTGGAGTATAATGCGATTACAGTCAATTGAGCATGTTGCAGTGGCGTTTTCGGGATATCTGATCGGGGGGAGGGGCTCCGGAAATTTTTTAGTAGCTTCCCAAACTTTTCGCGGGCATATAAGCTGGCGCCAACCATGCCTCGAAAAAGAAAATTTCTGTAACGT